AATGGTAGCCAATCAGGTTTGTTTGTTTTTTTTTCTGTTGGTCTATCCCACTTACAGGAAAAGTAATTTTGGAAAGACCAATCTGCTGCCTGGCCTTTATTTCTGTTTGCTTCAGTCTTTCTCCGGCTCAGCCCTCAGAAGACACTGCTATGCGTATGTATGGAATGTAGGGTTGCCCAATTCTAGAATCAAAGACAAGAGCAGGGGGCAAGCACTTGAGCCACCCTCGGCTGCCTCCCAGGAGGTGCATTAGCGGCAAGCTGGATCCACAGCAGAGACAGGCCTCCATTCCAGGTACTCAGATGCAGGCTGTGGGCATGCCAAGTGGTGGCTCAGCCATGCCGCACCCCTCCCCGGGGTGTCGTGCTCCTAGCCCCAACTGCTCTTCCTGTTTAAATCATCAAAGTTACAACTGAGGTTGATCCTTTAGTGGCTTCAGTGCTGTATTCCAACTAGAGATTGTATCCTGTAACATTGCCCTTTAATGTCCATGCAATTTAAAACACACTTGGGCAGACTGATACACTGTTGTTACCCACTTCTGGCCGGGGTTCAGCTACTTTTCCATCTCCTACTCCTTGGGTAGATGACTCAGCACGTTCTTCCAATTCTGCATTTTTAACTCTTCTCAAAGACCCTCAATATATTCTTCTACTTTTTTTTTTTTTAATCAGGTATATTGGTCAATTCTTCTCTACCAAGTTGACTTGCTGTGTCAATGATTTCCCTGACTTCTCCATTCATCCCCAGGCAGCCTTTTTAAACGTCACGGCTTCATCCCATACATTCGCTCTAGCAGGCATTTAACACTTTCTGGTTTTAAAATCATTCATAGCAGCTTGAGCTATGTTATTTCAGAAACAATAGGGAATGATACTCACTGCTACATCCTGTCCACATTAGGATATGTGGGAAGCAGGCAGTTTGATTCAGTACTGAAGACACTGGTTGGGATACCTGCACCCCAAAGGAGTGCCTGGGTTCATGTGGCGGCTCTGCCTTCTGATTTGAGCTTCCCGCTGGAGTGTGCATTGGGAAGTCCCAGGTGCATTGGGAAGCCCCAGGGTGGGGTCCCTGCCATGCATGAGAAAGACTTGTTTTGAATTCCTGGCTCCTGGCCGTGGTCAGGCTCGGTCCCAGCTGCCCTAAGCATTTGGGGAATGAGTCAGGAGACTGGAACTCTCTGTGTCTCTCTCTGCTTGTGTCTCTTAAATAGACAAATAAAAATTAAGGAGTCAACATTACGGTTTAGTGGATTAAGTTGCCATCTGTAACGCCAGCAATGCACATGGGCACCTTTTTTTGAGTCCCAGCTGCTATTTTCTCGATCTAGCTCCCTACTAACGGCCTGGAAAAGCAGTAACAGATGGCCCAAGCACTTGGACTCCTGTATTGTGAATCAGTGGATGGAAGACTCTCCTTTCTTTCTGTAACTCTGCCTTTCAAATAAAATAATTCAGTATCTAATAAATAAATAAGTCTTTAAAAAAAAAAGCTAGAGGGCCCGGCGGCGTGGCCTAGCGGCTAAAGTCCTTGCCTTCAACGCGCCCGGAATCCCATATGGGCGCCAGTTCTAATCCCGGCAGTTCCACTTCCCATCCAGCTCCCTGCTTGTGGCCCGGGAAAGCAGTCAAGGACAGCCCAAAGCTTTGGGACCCTGCACTCATGTGGGATGCCCGGAAGAAGTTCCTGGATCCTGGCTTCGGACCGGCATAGCATCGGCCATTGCACTTACTTGGGGAGTGAATCATTGGAGGGAAGCTCTTCCTCTCTGTCTCTCCTCCTCTCTGTATATCTGACTTTCCAATAAATAAATAAATCTTTGGGAAAAAAAAAAAGCTAGAAAGTTACAGAGAGGGAGAGATTGAGAGAGATCTTCCATCTGCTGGCTTACTCCCCGTATGGCCGCAACAGCAACAGCTTGGCTGGTCTAAAGTCAGGAGCCAGAGGCTTCCTCTGCATCTCCCATGTCATGCAGCAGGGTTACAGAAGAAGAGACCCTTCCATCCACTGATTCACCTCCCAAATGTCCACAGTGGCTGGAGTCGGGCGGTGGGAAGGCAGCTTGAGATGCTTTCCTTCCATACTGGAGTGTGCTCGATCACCCTGACTTCTCTGCTTCCCATCTAGTTCCCTGCTACCGCATCCTGGGAGGGACACAGCAGACAGTGACTCAGCGGGTAGATCCTTTTTATCCATATGAGAGACCAGGATAAAACTTCTGGCTCTGGGTCTTGGGGTTTGGCCCACTCTGACCACTACAAGTACTTGGAGAATAAATCAGTTGGTAGAAGATCTGTGTGTGTGAGAGACAGAGAGTGATTCTTTTAAATAAATTTTTTATTAAAAGAAAAATGCTGGACTCCCACACTGGAGCGTCTGGGGTTGACTTGTGGTTCTAGCTCCTGACGCCAATCTCCTGTCCATTCAGAAAGCTGGTTCAGGTCTTTGGGGTCTGTGGGAGCCCTGGACTGTGTCCTCAGCTCCGGGTGCCAGCTTCGCACCTCCCCAGCCATTGAGGCTTTGGAAAAATAAACCAAAGGATGGGAGCACTATCTGATTCTCTTTCTCTCCCAGATAAAGAAACCAAAACTTATGCATTGTTTATTTCTGGAATTTTTACTTCGTGTCCTCAGACCACAATTCACTACGGGTAAGTGAAACCTCAGAAAGCGGCAGTCCAGATAGGAGGCCACTGCTGTGTTTGGTCCTAGCAGATAAGGAGCAGCCGAGTGTGCTGCATGCACCACGCTATAGAAGATAAACAAGGGGAGCAGAAGCATAGAGGGCCAAGACGATGAGTGTATGAGTGAGAGAAAGCCACCGGCAGAGTCTCTGGACTGACCCCAAAGGGCCCTGAAAAGGCCCTAGGTGGTGTGGCTGTGCTGGGCGAGCAGCAAAGGGCAGGGCTCAGCGAGTGCTGCCACATCCCACCAGGCCCTTCTTCCAGTCGGACAGCCTGAGCAGGGGCGGCATGAGGGTGTGGGGAGGGCAACATGCACGTGTCAAGGGAGCTGACAGAGCCGAGACCAGTTAGTAGAGCAAATCTTCAGAAAAGAGAGAGAGAGAAAATAGTTTGTACATATAAGAATTTCAATCTTTTTTTTAAAGATTTGTTTTATTTTAATTGGAAAGGAAGAGCTACGGAGAGAAGACACGGAGGTCGTCATCCGCCGATTCATGCCCCAAACGCCAAGACAGCAGCGATGAGCCAATCTGAAGCCAGGAGGCAAGAGCATCTTCAGGTTCTCCCGTACGGATGCAGGAGCTCAAGGGCTTGAGTCGTCTCCTGTTGCCTTCCCGGGCCACAAACAAGGAGGTGGATAAGAACTGGAGCGTCAGGGGTACAAGCTGGAGCCCATAGCGGATGGTAGCGAAGCAGATGCAGGCCTAGCCTCGGATGCCACGGTGCCAGCCCCCATAGATACACTTCTAAGAATATGATTATACTTCCCTCCCTCCATATTTCTGTCCTCCTCCCTTCCTGATTTATTTTTCTTTTACTTCTGACATAACATTTTTCATTTTCCTGACAAAAGTTTAATTCTTCACTAAATCAACAGTTCAAAAAGGAAAAATGGAAAAGTCACAGTTAAGCAGCAATATAAGAAAAAAATAATAAATGGAAACAAACAAAAATACGTAATAATCTAATCAAAAGATGTCACTTTCATTCACATACATTAAAAATGTTGGGCCTGGGCCTGGCGCGGTGGTGCAGTAGTTAAGGTCCTCGCCTTGCACACCCGGAATTCCATATGGGCGCCAGTTCATGTCCCAGCAGCCCCGCTTCCATCCAGCTCCCTGCCTGTGGCCTGGGAAAGCAGTCGAGGACAGCCCAAAGCTTTGGGACCCAGCACTCATGTGGGATGCCCGGAAGAGGTTCCCGGATCCTGGCTTCGGACCAGCATAGCATTGGCCGTTGCGCTCACTTGGGAAGTGATTCATCTGATGCAAGATCTTCCTCTCTGTCTCTTCTCCTCTCTGTATATCTGCCTTTCCAATAGGAAATAAAATAAATCTTTTTTTAAAAAAATGTTGGGCCTGGTGCGGTAGCCTAGTGGCTAAATCTTCGCCTTGCACGCCAGGGATCCCATATGAGGGCCAGTTTGTGTCCAGCTGTTCCGCTTCCCATCCAGCTCCCCACTTGTGACTTGGGAAAGCCCAAAGCCTTGGGACCCTGCATCTGTGTGGGAGACCCACAAGAAGCTCTTGGCTCCTGGATTTGGATCAGCACAGGTTCAGCCATTATGACTTCTTGGGGAGTGAACCAGTGGATGGAAGACCTGTCTCTTCTTCACTCAGTAAATCTGACTTTCCAATAGAAATAAATTAAAATCTTTTAAAAAGTTTTTTTTAAAGATGTATTTATTTATTTATTTTATTGGAAAGGCGGATATACAGAGAGGAGAGACAGAGAGGAAGATCTTCTGCCTGATGATTCACTCCCCAGGTGGCTGCAACAGGCAGAGTTGAAGTGATCCAGAGCCAGGAGCCAGGAACTTCCTCCAGGTCTCCCATGCCGGTGCAGGGTCCCAAGGCTTTGGGCCGTCCTCAACTGCTTTCCCAGGCTACAAGCAGGGAGCTGGATGGGAAGTGGAGCAGCCGGGATTACCTCAGCTTTGGCGTTTGTGGCTGCTTGGGAGTGAGGCATTGAACAGAAGATCTTCCTCTCTGTCTCTCCTCCTCTCTGTATATCTGCCTTTCCAATAAAAATAAATACATCTTAAAAAAAAAAAAAAAAAAACCACAACAGAAGAACAAAACAGCATTAAGACACTCAGCAGGCTGCATGCCTGCTCCTCCTGGCTTGCAGCGCCCTGGGCCCGCAGTGCTACTTCTTTCCCCACTATTACAGCTTTTTAATTTATGTAAAGTACCTTTAACCGTGCCTGGCACTGGAAGCCATTCTCATGTACCTGAGCGCTCATTGAACAGCTAAGTAAGAATGTGAGACAGAGAGAGCAAGCTAGAGGGCCAAGGTCAATGGACTCACTTCGCTGGTCAGGGGCAAAGGAGAAGAATCCTGGCATCCTGGCAGAGAGCCCGCACACCTTGAGATCCTGGGGCAGGCTTGTCCGGGCACTGGCATCATCTCTCCCGTGGGCCTTGAGCACATCCATTCTTGCGAGGTTCTTTGAAGTGCCAGTGCACACCGTTCATTAAGGCCTCATGTCTTCTTTTCTTAGGGCTGAGCTTCCCCTGTAGGAGACGAGATCAGGTGCCTGTTGGTTCACTTTTAGAATATTTATTGAAGGTATGGAATGTATTCATGCCTGCTTTAGCAAACATTTGCTTCGGCTTACAAAGCACCCTCTCCAGATCTTGCTGGTCTCTGCACCTGCATCAGCACGCACTCTTGACACCTGCCGCTTGCATTCTCTGATCTGGTCCGCAAGGAGTTTCTCACAGGACCAAGCTGTTACACTGATGTTCCTGCGCAGGTGCACTGAGACTGCAGAGCAGGTGAGGGAGAACCTGAAGAGCTTCTGGCTCATGGTGATTGTACGGTACTTGCACAGAGCCCCAAGCCGCCAGAGTCGCTGCTACTACCACCGCTCCCCCAACACATTTTCAATTTAAAAATCCTTCCTTTTCTTCAGGTGAACTGAGGCAATGGTTGGGATTAAAATGTATGTCTTTTTAAAGGATTTATTTATTTATTTATTTTATTGGAAAGGCAGATCAGATTTATAGAGGAGAGACAGAAAGATTTTCCGTCTGCTTCGATTCACTCCCCAAGTGGCTGCCATGGCTGGAACAATGTTGATCCAAAGCCAGGAGCCAGGAGCTTCTTCCGGGTCTCCCACGCGGGTGCAGGCTCCCAAGGCTTTGGGCCATCCTCGACTGCTTTCCCAGGCAACAAGCAGGGAGCTGGATGGGAAGCAGAATAGCCAGGACTTGAACCAGTTCTTACATGAGATGCTGGCACTATTAAGTGGAAGATTAGACTGTTGAGCCAAGGCCTTTGCCCCAGAATGTGTGTTTTCCATTGGTACTGATGTGTTCCCTTAGTGGACCTATGCCTGGCCCTCTTCCTACAAGCTTCCCCCCAAACACACACACTAACTCCACATCCCAGATGTAGGCCTCTCAGCTCTGTGAGCGTCGGGAACCTGTACAACTGACCACCCACTAAATCTGCGTAGAAAGAGCTGTGAGTGAGACTCCTGTGGTGGCCATGAGGCCTGACACCTGCTCCAGCAAGATGGTGGGGCAAGGGGTGGAGGTGGGGGAGTGAGAATCAGCAGGTTGAGGAGGTGGGGCGGGGCAGGGGGCCATACCGGAGGGAACAGCGCCAGGAAAACATCACGTTCTTGCCAAGTCAGCGAAATCAAGGCAGCGGAAAGATTAAGCCCTGATTGTTGGACTGGACAGAACTCTGTCCTCCTTGGGGAGCCTCCGTCTCCCCTCTTCTCTTGTTCTCTCACTTCCACCAGTTCAGTTCCATGGTTGACTGCCATTTTGAACTTTTCCAATGTCTTTTCTTCAACTCCTTGCCTGTCCTGCTCCCCACTCTTTCAGGTGGTCACCTTGAAGTCCTCCTGCAAAAATTTACATGGATTGAGATGAAAGAGGCCTTATCATCTGACTCCCCCACCCCCCACATCTGTAAGATGTACCTTTAACCCCAGGCCTGCAGTACAAGTTGTTGAAGTAAAACCACAGGCCATTGTTTTGCACCAAGTGCTTGCACTAGGTTCCCCTGACAGACAGTGCTAAAAACCAAAAAATGGAGCCACCCCCCAGGTGAAAATTCCATGTCATCAACCCTGTTTAGCGACTTTCAAAGAACTCAGAATTGGAGAGATAACAGTCAACTATTGTAAACAGGATGGCTTCAATGGGCCTGATAATGAAGTTAATCTTACACAAAACTAACTTGAAATGACATATCAGTTAAGCAGCTACTTTGCTATTGTTCTGTCTGTCCCCACCTTGCACAGAGGTAACTGGATTCTGTATTTGTTTCCTCTCCAACTATAGGGCCAACTTCTCCCTCTCAGGTCACCGGAGCCCTTACTCAGCTTTATGAGATGAAGTGTTGCTGAATTCTAGAATCACAAATAAAGCCAATTAGAACCCTAAATGGTGGCAATTTTGTCTTTTTTAATAAGCAAAGCCTAAACCAAGTCTCATGGAATTATCACAAATTATATACTCTGATATTAATGTTTTGAAAAGATGAAAGAGTTACACAGAGAGGCGACACAGTGAGAGGGAGAGAGCTCTTCTATCTATTGGCTTACTCTCCAAGTAGCTGCAACAGTTGGGGCTGGGCCAGTCCAGAGTCAGAATCCAGCAACTTCATCACGATTGCTCACATGGGGGGCAGGGGCCTAAGCACTTGAGCCATCTCCTGCGGCCTTTCCTAGGCACGTTAGCAGGGAGCTGGACTGCAAGTGCAGCAGCTGGTACATGATCTGTCACATGCTGTTACATGGGATGCTGACCTCACAGGAGGTGGCTTAACCTTCTCTGCCACAATGCTGGACCCTAACTTTGATTTTAAGATGCCAGTTCTAACAAACCAAATCGATGACATGGCCTACTAGTGGGTGACAGCATTTATTTATTTTTCTACTCAGTTACATCTTGTTTAGCATTAACAGTCATAAATTGTTAAAGTTTTTTTTTGGGGGGGGGACTCTTAAGCCACAATTTAAACTTTGCAATATATAGTAATTAAGCACGGTTTTACAGAACTTTGCATTTTAACAATTGAAGAATAGAAAAGTTTTAGGCAGGTGAATAGGGAAATCCCCAATAACCTAGTGAGTGAGGAAGAATTTGATTCTACATCCTACCTAGTAAAGTCCAGGAGAAGCATGTAGGGAGCCTGACCATTAAGTACAGGCTGAGTGATTGTAGGCTAGTTGGCCTTTTCCCTGGCTGTTCCAGACTTTCTATATCAGTGTCTCTCTCTGTCTATCTGCAAAGCCAAATGGGAAGCCTGATCAGTAAGGTACAAGCTGAGTGATCATCAACTAGCTGACCTTTATTAGTCTCTGTCTGTCTGAACTAATTTTGGGGCTCACAAGCAACCCTGATGGTCGGTGTTGGAGAGGATTAGCAGCCAAGGCAAGCAGTGACTTATTAACTGAACCCCACGGCTCACATTTTAAAGCAAAACACATAGGCTGGCAATGTGGGTGCTTTTTGAGTCCCGGCTGCTGCCCCACTCTGGTCCAGATCCCCGCCACCGTACCTATGAAAGCAACAGAAGATGGCCCAAGTTCTTGGGCCCCTGACACCCATGTGGGAGACCCAGATGAAGCTCCTAATTTCTGGCTTCAGCCCATCCCAGCCCTCGCTATTATAGCCATTTGGGGAGTAAACAAGCTGTTGGAAGACTCTTCCACTACCACTTCCCTCCATTTGTCTCTGTAACTCTGCCTTTCAAATACAACATACATTCATTTTATAGATGAGCAAGCCGAGTCAAGGTCTGGCAAGTATTGTGGTACAACAGGTTAAGCTTCAGCTTATCACGCCAGTATCTCATATCAGACGCTGGTTCAGCTGTGCCACTTCTGATCCAGCTCCCTGCTGGAAGGGGAAGGGAAGGAAGGCAACCTGATTTCCAAGGAAGGAAGGGGAAGATGACTTGAGTTTTTAGTTTTTTTCACCCATGTGGGAGACTAATACTGAGTTCCTAGTTTCTGGCTCAACACAGTCGCGGCTGTTGTAGCCATTTGGGAAATGAACAGCAGACAGAAGATCTCTCTCTGTCTCTTTCCTCTCTCTTTGCCTTTCAAATAGATTAATTATTAATTAATTAACTAATTAACTTAAAATATGAAATCAAGGGGCTGACGTTGTGGCACAGAAGGTCAAGCTTTGGCCTGTGGTGCCAGCATCCCATATAGGCGTTGGTTTGTGTCCTGGCTGCTCTGCTTCCTGTCTAGTTCCATGTTTGTGGACTGGGAAAGCATCCCAGGATGGCTCAACTCTTTGGGCCCCTGAATCCACATGGAAAACTCAGAAGGTACTTCAGATTGGCTCAGCTTTGGCCATTGAAACTATTTGGGATGTGAACCAGCAGATGGAAGATCTTTCTATGTGTATGTGTGTCTCCTTCTCTCTGGTAATTTTGCCTTGCAAATAAAAACAAAATAAAACTTAAAAATTTTTAAATATATATGTCTTTATTTATTTGTTTGTTTAAAACACGGCATTACAGAAATTTAGAGACAGAGATCTTCCTTCTGCTGATTCACCCCCAAAATGGCTGCAACAACTTGGGTGGGCCAGATTAAAGCCAGGAGCCTAGATTTCCACCTAGGTTTCCAACATGGATGACAGGGACCTAAGGTCTTGGGCCATCTGCTGCTGTTTTACCAGGTGTATTAGCAGAGAGCTAGATCGGAAGTACAACAGCTGGAACCTGAACTAGGGTCAGTATGAGATGCAAGTGTTGCAGGCAATGGCTTAACTTGCTATGCCACAACTGCGACCCTCTAAACATTTTAAAGTCAATCTTGGGGGCCCGGCATGGTGGCACAGTGGTTAAGGTCCTCACCTTGCACGCCCCGGATCCCATATGGCCGCCGGTTCTATCCCAGCAGCCCCGCTTCCCTTCCAGCTCCCTGCCTGTGGCCCAGGAAAGCAGTCGAGGACGGCCCAAAGCTTTGGGACCCTGCACCTGCGTGGGAGACCCAGAAGAGGCTCCTGGCTTCAGATCGGCATAGCATCGGCCGTTGTGCTCACTTGGGGAGTGAATCATCGGAGGAAAGATCTTTCTCTCTGTCTCTCCATCTCTCTGTATATCCGCCTTTCCAATAAAAAAAAAATAATAATAAAAAAATTAAATCTTTAAAAAAAAAGTCAATCTTGGGAGCTTTTTTTTTTTTTTTTAACAGATGATGCAAGAAAAGGAAGGAAGGAAGAAAAAGAGAGGAAGAAAGAAAAAAAGAGAAAAACATCTCTTGAGAAATACTTGCTCTGGAATGAGCCTCCTTGGAGTTTCGGGCCTGTAGGCAGCCCTAAGGCTGCCTGGAGTGTGGTGGAAAGGCTTCTTGGAGAGAAGTGTCAAGCAGAGACCCTGCCCAGGGATGGTCTTACTGCTGTGTTGTGTTAGTAGAGAGTTCCTGACCAATTTTAGGGAAATCTGCCAAACAGTTGCACATTTTCAACTCCTATATCTGAGATATGCTCGAATTGGAGAAAGGTATCTGACCACCCCCAGCTGACCAAACCTGTTTCCCAAGTGTCCCTCTCCGTGGGGCCAACAGACAGCCCACATCTACCTGATTCATTCTTCGGATGCTGAAATGCATTGTAATGAAATCAGGTTGCCTAGTTTGATTGGATTCGCTTTGAAACCCAGAGGCTCCCCCAAACTTGCAGGTGGCACTGTGAGAGGGTGGCACTCCCCCAAACTTGCAGGTGGCACTGTGACAAACAGCTTACAGCAGCAGAGCAAACACCTCCCATCCCCCTGCCCTTCCCTCATGTGCCACGCCCCCAAACCTGGGGCGGTTAGGGAGCTGGAGCCGTTGTTTAGATATGCCCTGGTGCTTTAGCCCGGCCTAGGGCCTCTGGCAAACAAAACAAAACAAAAAAACAGGAAAGGGGACCAGGAGCTTGGACCGGGAGAGTGGCGGGAGTCGGGGTGGGGAGGATGGGGTGGAGTGGAGAACCAGACCCCTCCTGGAAGATCAGGCCTCCAACCAGAAGATCTTGGAATGAGGACTCAAAAACAGAAATAAACAACATCCATGCCTTTAGATCCAATTTGAACTAAAGTTGCTAGGTTCATTCTCTGAGATTTTTCTGTTGAAAACAATTACCTTCTAAGTCTAAAAGTGCTGATGGAGATGATGTTAGAAAAAGGGATTGAAAAATCCTGACAGTGTGGTGACTTAGTCAGCACCCCATCTTCCCAGAGGAGCAGCGGACTTAGCAAGGTGAGGATCTGTTGTTTGGCTCCCACTTTATCTCAACTGAAAGTATCTGAGGTCTTGCTTGGTTTATTTCAACCAGACCCGAATGTCATAAAGGAATTATGTGAATTATGAGAGTTGTGTAATTCTGGAGCCTCGAACCAATACACAAAGGTAGCTCTCAAGACCTTCAACAAGGGCTATTAGGCAACACTGCGGAGTTTTTAAAACTCCCCTCTCACTTACTTAGCCACCCAGGTGGGGAGAAGCAGCAGGAGTTGAAACTCAAATGCCTTTCTTATGATCCTTCTCCACCACCACAGTGCCTTTCCAAGGGAACCAAGAAAGGCTGCCAGTCCGGTGACTCCAGGCAGTAAGGTGATGCTTAGAGCCAGAGAACATGCTCGCAGCTCTCCTCTCTCTCCTTTTCTTTCTCCTCCATCCCTTCTTCCCTCTCAGGGTACTGGAGCACCCTGCCTTCTCCTCCTTTTCTGAACTCCCTTCCCATCAAAAGGAGCTTTCACAGAAAAGCACTTGACAGTGTTCTAACAGAAAGGGAGCGGGGTGGTCTCCAACAAGGGTCCTGAGATGTCACTATCCCCCGAGACCACCAGCCTGGAGGTTCTGGGAGGCGCAATGGAGATGCGAGGACTGAGGGTACCCTGGCATCTTTTTAAGGGGGTAGAAAAGGTCATACATATTCTTGATTAAATATAGAATATTTGCCAACTTACTACTGAAAATGAGTTTTGTTATATTCTATAACATATTGTATTCAGTCATGTAGCTGGTTTTGAAAATTAAGTTGAGTTTAATTTATAGTGTAATAAATACTTCTTTTTTAAAAAGATTTGTTTATTTTTATTGGAAAGGTATGTACACAGAGAGAAGGAGATACAGAAAGATCTTTCATCACTGGTTCACTCCCCAAGTGGCCACAGCAGTTAGAGCTAAGCTGATCCAAAGCTAGGAGCCAGGGACCAGGAGCTTCTTCCAGGTCTCCCATGTAGAGTACCAAGGATTTGGGCCGTTTTCTGCTCTCCCAGGCCATAAGTGGGGAGCTAGATGAGAAGTGGACTAGCAACCAGGACACGAACCAGTGCCCATATGGGGACCTGGCAGATGTAAAGTGAGGATTTGGCCACTAGGCTATTGCACTGGACCCATAA